TCTTTTGAGTAGAGTTTTTCTAAGAATTTTTGTAAATACACGAAATTTTCTACTTCAGTCAACCCTTTCTCTGGCCATTGCAAAGTGGTGTTTTTATAGGTGAACCTGTCCCAAACAGCAGAGTAAAATAAGCCTTTTTTTTTTTTTTTAAGGGATCTGCTGACAACATTCGGGACTTCTCATATTTTTTCTACTATTAGCCAGTATCACAGTCAGATGAGATCTTCAAGCTCATATTACCCATTTTGATCAACAGTAACTCAAAATTTGCTGTGAAGATTTGGAATTTTTCCCCAGAAACCCTATCCCACTAAACCAAAACAGTTGGAGGGTAACTTTTTAGCATATATTCAGGGTCTTCTACCTAATTCAAGGTAACCACAATGTCCTCCAATGAAATCACCCAACAGAAGAACTTACTTAAGGTTTACCAACCATCCTTATTGCTAAATTTTTAGGTTAAAAAAGAAATTGATATCTGAAGGAATATACTAATTCATAAATATAATATTATCTAATTTCATTACTCAGGGGAGAAAAATCCCTGAGTGTATGCAGATAGCCCATAAGTGGCTGCAAAGTTATTGTGAATTTTGTTCTTATATAGAATTAAAGCTGGGGTTCTTTTTTAATAAACAGCCAACAGATAGTTAATTGCATCAGTAACATTGTACTTGGACATCCTGTTTTTCAAATTTTTATCAGACTTAACTCTTGTCATTTTCTCATTAGTACCTCCTATAGTTGTCCCTTTTACTATATCTAGCACATATCATTAATCACATCTTTCAACATGCCTCAGTAAGATTTGATTAAGTTCAGTCTCCCCAAACCTCTCCTGATATGTCCAAGTCCCCTACAAATTACCTCTGTAATTTGGAGCCACCTGGTGGTTGTCTGCTTGGACTTAAATCTTAGTAGGAATAATTCTGGGTCTTGGTGTTTAACAGGGACTTCCAAAATAACAGCCATTTTAGGAATTTCTTAGTTAGCTTTTAATTTTTTTTCCTGGTCTGGGAGGATTGGCTGTGAAAATCTTGGAGACTCAGGGACCTACCCCTCCTGCATGCCTTTCTCTTCCCTTTAGCAGTGAGGAACATTTGCCTATCCCATGTAAAAATCCAAGGCTGGGCAGAGGATGAAAGCCAATGGCTAATTGCATTGAATCTAATTTTAGGTTACTGTGTAGTTTTACTAAACCCGGATGTAGAATTGCTATGTTTTAGAGAAAGCACGCCTTCAACTTTATAGAGTATTGCCAAATTGCTCTCCCAAATAGTTACATCAATTTATACTCCCACCTGTACAGTAAGAGTTCCTACTTTCACACATTCTTGGCAACATCTGGTGTTTGCAGACTTTATTTTTACCAATCTGATGGGTGTGAAGGAGTGTCTCATTTTGACTTTAATTTGCATTTTTCCACTATTGAACATCTTTTCATGTGTTTATTGGTCATTTGGGTTTCCTCTTCTGTGAATTGACTGTTCATATCTTTTACCTTAAAAAAAAAAAACTGGGTTACTGGTTTTGATATAAAAGAATATTTAATTTATTCTAACTATTAGAATTTTGATTGTTTCTACAAATTGCAAGTCTCTTTTTCCAATATGACATTTCTTTATAAATTATGGAGTATTGGGTAAAGAACTTTTATATGTTCAAAGCTATGATAGTACGTGGTTGTTTGTGTTATTTAACAAGTACTTCCCTATCCTACTGTGAATGTCTCCTCATTTCTTCTAAAAGTTTTACAATGTTTCTTTTCATATTTAAATCTTAGATCTGCCTACAACTTACATTTTGCATATGGAAAGAATTAAAAGTACAGTTTCATTTTTTCCATATGAATGGCCAGTTGCCCTAGTATCATTGGTTCAATAGTCCATCTTTTTCCAATTTTGATTTGTAACATCACCTTATTTTTTTTGGTAGTTGTCAGCGGATCTTTTATTTACTTTTATTTTGTATTTATTTATATGCGGTGCTGAGAATGAGCCCAGGGCCTCACACATGCCAGGCAAGCGCTCTACCACTGAGCCCACAACTCCAGCCCCCAGCATTGTTTTCATTGTTTTTCCATATCAATTTTAGGATCAGATTCTCAAGTTCTGTAAAAAACTTCTCTCTGTAATTTGTTTGGTAATATAATGTACTTATATATGTTAACTTGATAGCCATCTTTATAAATTGGGTCTTACTGCTGCTGAAAATGTTATATTGTTTCTTTTTTTTAGTTCTTGTGTTCTTTAATACAAGTTTCTAATTTTCATTTTTTCTATAAAGTTCTTTTTGTTTAGATTTGTTTAGCTTTAATTATTATTACAAATTAAATAATCTTTTAAAGTTAAAATTTTAAATTGCTTTTGTTAGAACCTCATATCTGTAACATAGTAACATATTGTGGTCAAAGGATATTTTATGTATGATTCAGATTCCTGATACCTGTTGAAATCTGTTCTATAGCCTGGTATATAGCCAATTTTATGAAGCTTTGATGTGCTCACAAAAAGATTTTCTATTCCCTGAATTTGTGCAGGATTTGTATATGTCCATTAGATCAAGTTTTTAATTGATTGTTCCTATTATCTATATTCTTATTTAATGTTTTCTGCTTCACCTGTCAATTAGTATGATTGTGAATTTGTTAATTTCTTTTAGTAATTCTGTGAACTTTTGCCTTATTGACACAGATTATGAGTTCATAATTACCATAGTTGCCTGTGAATTGTTCCGATTTTACTATTATGTAATAGCTTTTTTATCCCTAGAAATGTATTTGCCTTAAACTATGTACTTTTCCCTGGTATTGATTGAGCTGTGCCAGTTTACTTTGGTTTATAGTCTGCCTAGTGTGGAAGTTAAGGATGTGTTCAACTGCAAACAACAGAAAGTTGCACTACAGTTGCTTCCATAAATGTGGAATTATTTTTTCTCATATAACAAAGATTGAACATAGATTTGGGTCCATCTGCTCAGAAATCCAGGCTCTTTTTATGTTTCTATTTACAACCTTTCATCCTTATTCATTCCTTTTCTCTCCCTGTGATGCTTTGTGGAGGGTGAGGAGAGGATAATGAGGAAAAAATTTATTATTGGAATTGATACAGTTTCCTATTGTTGAATCTATAGAATTTGTGTCCCATGATTATAAATGGTCTGGTGTCTCACACATTTTATGAAAGTTTTTTAATGAGAAGATGGAATCTTCTATTTGTACATTGAGTAAATGTGACAGTTACCCTTATTGAATGAAATCACCAGGAAGAAATTGCTTATGCATGCCTGTCTTTAGAGGCAGAAACAATTGTCAACTCTCAATAAAACAAATATCATCATTTTACTAGCAAAGCATAATATAATAGATTTCAAAACAATAAAGTAAAGCAAAAATATAGTAAAATTTTAGCAAGTAGAGTATATTTAGGAATACGCTCTATGTGTTCTCTGAAGAGATACCTTCATTTTCTATAGTTTTTCAGAGACTGGTTAAATTTCAGGATTTTCCATGAAACCAAACATCACTTTGTTTCTTTTTTCTGGAGCATTTGCAGGCTAGTAGGCAGCCCTTCTTACCTAGAAAATGTGACCTCACACTCTTCCTTTCCTTATGCCATTCTTTGAAACTTCCAATGAATCTGATTTCACCTCTAATCTTTCCCTGAACCATTAAAACAGGTCTGTGAAACCATGAAACACAATTTCTTGTGTATGTATTTGTAGTCTTTAACATCTATGAAGCAGGTGAATCAATTTTTGTTTTGTACTGAAAATGATTACAGCATGTTAGTGGTTCTTGGGTTTCCTAATGGTTGATGTCTATTAAAAGTTAACAGAAGCATTTACCTACATAATTTCATTCAGCCCTTCTTTGTCCCAAAAATAAAATAATATGTAAGAAAGGGAGCCCTCAGAATTTAAGCTGTAAAGAATGCAGTTAATTACATTCAAGGCAGAAACTTCTTTCTTTAAAAAGATTGAAATTAGTGTTATTTTAATTATTTGGTTAATATGTATAAGTAGAACCTTGTGCTAGATAAATACTTATTGAATGACTCCTGAGTTGGGCATTTTCTTTTAGACACTAAGACTGCTAATCCAATTTTGAATGCCCTTTTGACATCATTAATCCTTGTCCAACACAGAATTGTTGAACAGAAACTAGGTATCTTTTCATTACAGGATATAGAAAGTATTTTTTTATATGAGATAAAGCATTGTGAACGTGTTTTTCCTTTCCATGACTATGTGGTGTTATTTTACATTGGTCACCTAAAAATTTTTGTGCATGACTTAGTCATTATATTGAAAAATATACATAAGAACTAGTAAAAAGGAAAAGTTTTTAGAAACTGAAGTATTCCATTTCACTGTTTTTTACAGATTTCTTTTTCTGTGTGACTTTTTTACATTTGATTAAAATTCTTTCTGTGGTTGAAGCCTTTTCTTTATCAAAAAGAACTTGTAAACTTTTTGACTAGTTAATCTTTATAACTTTACATTTGGAAACCTATTTTTTCTTTATTTTCTACACAATAATCACTTCAGTTTTCTAATTGTTTTCTCACCGATCTTGATTTTTCAACTAAGTTATCTTAATTTTTCTGAGGAACGCAACTTTATCTTAACTGTCTCCCCCCCCCCCTTTTTTTTTTTTTTTTTTTTTTTGCTACTGGGGATTGAACTCAGGGTGGGGCACTCAGTCACTGAGCCACACCACCACACCACTACCCTGTTTTATATTTTATTTAGAGATAGGGTCTCACAGAGTTGCTTAGCACCTTGCCTTTGCTGAGCCTGGCTTTGATTTCGAAATCCTCCTGCCCCAGCCTCCAAACCACTAGGATTATAAGCATGTACCACTGAGCTCGGCCTTCACCTTAACTTTCAAATCTAATATTGCTATTATTATTATGCAGTTGTTTCTGTTTATAAACTTGAATTAATTTAATTGAACTTAGGTTTTGTTGTATTTTAAGTATTATGAAATAATCTTTCAGCCATGGAAACAAAGAAGTATTTTCCTGCCGAGGAATAAAATTGGCAGTGGATTGGTTTTTGGAAAGAGGCCATAAAGATATTACAGTTTTTGTTCCTGCTTGGAGAAAAGAGCAATCCCGACCTGATGCTCTCATTACAGGTAAGCTCATTACAGGCAGCTATTTGTTCCTAGCTTCTGTATAATACCTATGTAGATCCCTTAACACTCAGGTATTCTTAATCCACTTCTGTTTATATGATTGCAGTTGTCTTATGTGGGACATTAAAATTGTTTTCAAGTTTGAAAATTATCTAATTAACTGAACACTAATCTTTACTACATGAGTCAAGACTTTTTTTCATTTATATGGAAACTGACTTTTTAAAAATATTTTTTTAGTTGTCAATATACCTTTATTTTTATTTTATTTATTTATTTATTTATATGAGGTGCTGAGAATTGAACCCAGTGCTTCACCAATACTAGGCAAGCATTCCACCACTAAGCCAAAACCCCAACCCCTAAAATTCTGACTTCTAGAGACATGCTGAGACAAGAAGCCTTCTCTACCTTTGCCATTTACTTGCAACAGAACTTGAGCAACACACTGAGCCTCTGAACCCCACTTTTCTCATATGCTATAAGAAATTAGACTAGATGCCAGTCAAGTTCTAATGGTTACAAGTTAAAAAAGACCTCTAAGACCACGGAATATGCTGTCTGGTCAAGAAGAAAATGACTAGTCTCAATAAACTATTTATATTCATACTTTAGATTAGTTCATAATTTTTAAGTGTATGAGTTTCAGGCAGAGATGTCCTTTGTAACATCAGCATCCAACCCTTCCTGTCCTTTTTTCCACCTCTAATATTAACAAAATCTGTGAGGCAACTCTGAAGGAAACCATAAAACTTTTCAAATCAACAACAAATGACCATCTATCATATACCCAGAGGGGTAGATTACTTTAAATGTTCTTTTTATTTACAATTATTAAAGTCATAGTCAAATTATGATAAAATGTGTAGGTAGCCAAGGGTGAAGTCCAAAGCTATGGACTCACATAAAAATGTGAGGTTGTTGAGAGCCACAGCCGAAGGGGCCCCAGCAACTTCTAGCTGATTGGCTTCTCTATGGAGCTGCTGTTGGGGGACTTTTTTGGCTCCGCCCACGCCACCCAGCCAATCAGCCTCAAGAGCAGGAGGAGTGGGGGAGGTTGAGAGGTTTGTGGGAAGCCGGTGGTGGCAGTTGGGCTCTGAGGGTTTTTCCTGAGGAGGTGTTTTGTTTGGCGTGTGGGTTCTAAAAATAAAGTTAGTTTCTTTTGACAAGTGGCTCCTGAATTGTGCCCAGCCAGACTGCGGCATGAGAGCTGGCATAATTCTGCTAAAAGATGTTGGAATAACTCTTTGGAAAAAAAATACTTGTTTAGATTTTTATCTTATTCCCTATAATAATAAATTCCAGGTAGTTGAAGATGTAATTGTCAAAAATTAAATCATCAAAGACTAAAAGTAGTCTTTGAGTGGGAGAAGGCCTTTCTAAATTTAAAAATTTTAGAAGTAATTATGAAGGAAAAGATAGATGTAATTACATCAAAAATGTAAGCTCCTACCTTTGCAGAAACTTTCTTAAGAACTCATCAATTATATAAGAAAAACAGCAACAAATAAAGAATTCATGTTCTTAACATAAAATGCTCATGCAGTTCTGTTATGAATGCATAAACAGTTCCTACGTTTAATTTGTTTAATTTGTGCACTGTTCTGACTAGTGTGATGAAATCTAATGCTGTCCTGCTCTGTCCTATCCAGAACGTGAATCACATCCCATTGTTCAGCATATCAACACTATTTGTGCTGCCCGCCCATTTCTTACTTGGTAGCCTTCTTGGGTTATCAGATTGACTATTGCAGTGCTTGTGCATAAGTAACCCTTATTTTTCTTAATAAAGTCCTAAAGCTCAAGAGTTATGCTGCCAATTTGGGTATGCTAAAGAGAAGCTGTAAAGTAATTCTTCTAAGTGAAAAGGTGAAAGTTCTTGACTTAACAATATGCTAAGTTACTGAAATCTATACTACAATAAAATATTTTGAGAAAAACCACGCTCAACATAACTTTAACAGTATATTGTTATAGTTATACTATTTAATTATTAATTATTTATTTTTACTGGGCCTAATATATAAACTGAACTTTGTGGGAATGTATGTACAGAAAAGTGCAGAATATAGAGAGTTAGGTACTATCTGTGGTTTTAGAGATCCACTGGGAGTCCTGGAATATACATATCCAGGATGGGTGGGTGTGGCTACTGTATTTTTAGACCTACTAGTTCATCTTTTAGGAATAATTCCCCGCCCCCACCCCACCTCCCAAAAATAGCAGAGCTCACAGGCAAAGATTATGACCAAAGATATTCATTGCTATATTATCTTGAATAGAAAAAAAAAAGAAAAAAATTATAATTTCGTTAAAAGAATCCATATATTAGGATTGATTGATATAATAGGTGGAATATTTAGGCAGAAATTTTAAGGGGACATATTCTTTTACATTAACGGTCTGGGGTTTTAGGTTGTTGTTTATATGTTTTGGTACTGGGGATTGAACCTGGGGATATTTTACCTCTGATCTACATTCCCAGAACTTTTTAGTTTGAAACAGGGTCTTGCTGCTTTGCTGAGGCTGACCTTGAACTTGCAATATTCCTGCCTTAGCCTCCAGAGTCTCTATGATAACAGGCATGCAGCTACTGTGCCTGGCTCAATGTTTAAGTATATAAATGACTTGCAGGCTTCTTAAGTAGGAAAAGAATAAAAATCAAGAAGGAATAATGATAATATACATGTGAAGTGTGGCTGAGTTTGGTTTAAAAACACCAGCATACCAGGTCTCTGAAATTCAATATGCACTTTACTTAGTAAAATGCCAGAACTGTTATTAGAGGTTTTTAAGTGTTTTCTCTCCAAATATAATGATTTTCTTGACTAAAGCCCTCATTCAGGTAACACCTGATAAATTGAACAGTCCAGTGCTCACAGTGCACCAAAAATAATGCAAAATATATATATATATATATATATATATATATATATATATTAAAGGTTTCAGATTCAGAGATTCAGGCTAGCACATTTGCCAATCTTCTCCCCCCCGTCCCCTCCCATGATACCAGGGATTGAACCCAGGGGCACTTAACAACTGAGCCACATCCCCAGCCTGTTTTTTATTTTTTATTTTGAGACAAGGTTTACCTTAGTTGCTGAGGCTGGCTTTGAACTTGGGATCCCCCGCCTCAGTCTCCTGAACTACTGGGATTACAGACATCTGCCACTGCACCCAGCTCTTCTTCCATTTATTTTAACAAATACTAAGCACTATCTATGTTAACTTACCAGCTATACTGAACCTGTATTGAATTAGGATTATTTATGTGTCATCCAGTTAATTGTCCCTTCAACCCCATTAGCTGTTCTATAAATTCAAATTAAGCAAGATTGTGTTGATTATTAGGCTGCCACATTTATTCCTTCAGTCTCTTTATCAAGGCTTAAGGAATATCAGATGTCAGTAAATACCCTCCTGAATAATGAGGTACCATGGATCACTCATGCACATAATACAGTGAATACACTGGAAGTTTTCAGAGTATACATCTTCAAGTAGCTCGTTTATTCATTCATTACATAAGTATTTATTGAGCATCTACTGATATGTTTCATTTCATGGGCTTCGTGCTAATGGATACAAAGATAAATGAGACATGGTGCCTGTCCCCAAAATCTTTATGAGGGAAACACAGTAATTGTGATATGGTGAATTTTATAATTGAGTCTGGGCTTTTGCTTTCAAATTGGTTTTCTCTGATTTTTTAAAAGAGATCCGACAATTACATGTCTCTATTAAGTTGAAAAGCACAGTGTTTATTAAGAATTTGCCAGGCACCATGTGGTGTCCTTTACTCATGTTAACTCATGTTACTCCTCATAGGCTTGCCACTGCATTTGCAGACATAAAGAAACAGTCTCAATGAGATTATGATTGCCAGATGTAAGAAGTGAGAGAATCTGAGATTTATCCATGGTTTGCTAATTCTAACACCCTTATATCTTCCATTAATGCTTTGCTGATTTTTTAAACCAAGTTCTGGTCTTAATGAATTCATTTGTGAGACCATCATCCAATTCATATGCCAGTATTAGAGCTAACCCATATCACTCCTCCATTTCCTCTTCCTGTAGAGCCTGCTCATATTTCTGCAATGGCAATTATACTTTTGCTTACCCAGTTTGCATGTTTGTCTGATCCAGTAAGACTGTGCCCTCTTTGAGGAGATGACATTAACCTTGGTGGTTCTTGATACCTAGCACAACACATGCCACAGAGTAGGCATGTAGTAATTGTCTGTTGAAAAGATTTTTGTTTTTAATTACTAACTGGCTATTTGTTGCCACATTTCAGAGAAAAGGACACAGAAGATATAATAGCCAATATTTCTGACCTTATTTCAACTTTCTTGAGCTTTCTGCCTCCTTTTTATTGAGCTTCTTTTGTATTTTAAGGTTTCCCTTGACTATCTCTACTACATGTACTACTTGCTTTTCAGATTCTCCTACCATCACACCAACCAGTTAGAAAAACAAACAAACAACAACAACAAAAAAAAAAAAACTACAAAATACACAAACTTGGGAGGAAAATACCTTCTGCTCTCTCTTAAACCCAACTCATATGCTTTGTTAGAGTGTCATTGTTGCAGAATGTCTAAGAAGCTGTATTCTAGCAGTAATGCTGCTGGTTCTATAGCTTAGCTGTTCTATAAATTTGCTAAGAGCAGGCTTTTAGTAAAAGCTTCATGGAATGAAAATCAAAATTTTCTCAATCACATTGAGGTTTATGCTGATCAGGTTTTGTTGTTTTATTTTGTTTTACTATTCTTAAAGCCTTAAATTCCTGGAAAAAAATATTCTAGGGAGTTACAAATTTTGCTACATCTACCAACTATGAATCATAATCTCTAATTAAATGATCACATATATTCCAGTTCATTAAAAAACTCACAATATATGAAAGTTTTCATTCTATATGTTATATATTTATGTATTCCTCAAATTCTGTCCTTACTATTCTTGCAGATCAGGAAATTTTACGCAAATTGGAAAAGGAGAAAATCCTGGTGTTCACACCATCCCGGCGAGTCCAGGGAAGACGAGTGGTGTGCTATGATGACAGGTTCATTGTGAAGCTTGCTTTTGAGTCAGATGGTATAATTGTGTCCAATGATAACTACAGGGATTTGGCTAATGAAAAACCAGAATGGAAGAAGTTCATAGATGAGCGGTTATTAATGTATTCCTTTGTCAATGACAAGTAAGTAAACCAATGCTCTTGCTTCCTTGAAAATATAACCATACCTGGCAGCTGTTAAGAATCCTTTTTATTTTATGGTAACCAGATCTGAGACAGGTTTCTTCCAACAACTGATCTCCCACTGATCCTCAGTGGTAGTCAGAAAAACTGCAAACTTGTGCTATGGAAGGCTCTGAATGAACGACAGGCCCCTGCCCTTCCCTGAAACTTCTAACAGAGCACCTGAGGCCAAGAAAGTTTAAACTCTGAGGGTGAAGAACTCCCATCTTCACCCTGAAAAAGATACTTTTCACAAGTCAACTTAGAACATTGATAGCTTACTAAAGGCATGATTTTTTAAAGTTTGCAAAACCAATATAAGACTCTAGTCATAGTCACAGTCTACAAGTTGATGAATGGACAAATGACATGAACCAGCATGTTACATAGAAATGAATATATTTATAAATATAAAGAAAAATATCATCTTTGAATAATCAAAAATGCAAACCAATCTAAAAAGTATTTTATTTCTCATCTTTTTTTAATAATTTTATTTTTTTTATTTGTTTTTAAGTGGTGCTGAGGCTTGAACCCAGTGCCTCACACATGCTAGGCTGAGTGCTGTACCACTGAGCCACAACCCCAGCCCCTCACCTATTTAATTCACAAAAAAATATTTTTGTGTGTGCCTTATGCTTTTAAAGATGCATGTAAACTGATGTACATTTTAGCAAAATTTAGCAGAAGCTTCAAAAATATGTTTGCCCTTTCAATCCAATATTCTCATTTCTTGGAATATATAATGAGGAAAAAAGAAAAGACCAGGTATGTTTGTTTTTGTATTGTTTATAATTGCAAGAAGTCAAAGGAAACTAAAGATGCAGTAGAGAAAGCAGTCACGTTACAGTGCATATCCTACTGGCATATTATTCATCTGTTCATAATTATTATTATGAAAGCTATTAAGAAACATGGAAAAATATTTTTATGTTAAAAAGATAAAGCAACAAAAAGAAAACAAAACAAAAAAGACAAAGCATGGAAAATAATTGTATTAAAATTGTGTGGTTGGTGTGACTTGGTCTTTTATTTTTTAACTTTTATGTTGATACATTGTTTTCATGATAGCAACACTGTTTTTGCCAACTATTTATTACTCAGCCATTTTGTCATTTCCCTAAGATTTCATACATTACTTGCATTATTCTTATTTTGTAGATAACTACTTAGGCTTATTTCAAATTCTAGCATTATTGTGACAAGTAGTATAATTCTTCAATCATAATTTCTTTTTATCATGCACACTATAAATTTTTTTCTCCATCGTACAGTCAATCCAAATAATAATAAGTTTACTTCCTTAAGATTTTTTATCCATTTCATCTAAGAAGTACATTTACTATAATAGGAAGAGAATAGACTTTGAACAGTCAGTCATAATTGAATATTTCCTATGTTATGGGACACTAGATAAAAATTACTTAATTCTTTTATACCTAAATTAGAAAATTTTATTAATCTGTAAAATGGAGCTAATACTTCATGGGATTATTGCATGTAAAGTATCTGACACATAACTGGTGTCCAACAAGTCCCTGTGTTCTCACTGCATTCCCCTCTTCCCCTCCCTTCCTCAGCTGCTCCATCTTACTCCCCACCTGCTTCATACAACTTCACAACACAGATGTTTACAGAACTCTCATAAAATTTCGTTGTAATCACTTTCTGAAATCCTTAAAAAAAAATCCCAGCACTCCTTTGAGAAGAAGAAAAAAATTAAAAGACGCTAGACTCAAAATTTGTTTGAATTAAAAAACATACAAGTTCAGCTTAAGATATTTTACTTTAGTTTCTAAGAAAGGAGAAATTTGTGTAGTGTTTGTCATTTTTTTTACTCTGTAAATATTGAATCAAAAATTTGGATTAAAATTTCAAATTATCTTACAGTAAATAAATCTTTGTACAGTATCTTTAGAATTAAATTATCAACCTCCTATTTAAGTATCATTTTTTACTATCTCCATGTTAGGTTTATGCCCCCTGATGACCCTCTTGGCAGACATGGCCCAAGTCTGGATAATTTTCTGAGGAAGAAACCTATTGTTCCTGAACACAAAAAGCAGCCTTGTCCATATGGTAACTTTCTTTATGAATACTTAACATTTATATTTAGAACACAATATATTGTTAAACTTTTGTTAATAAAAGTCAGCATTTAAAATTTTGGATGGCATAATATGTGGTTCTTTTGATTGTAATTAAATTTAAGAAAATCCCTTAATTATTTTTACCTATTTGGCTTCAATACATATGAATTGCCATGAACTAAAATGTGGTTTGAAAACTCAGTTAATTCTATACGATGTTTTTAGGTGGGTAAAGATTTAGAATTCATCTAGCTAGACACAAATTAGATAAGCATGGCTTTATTATAATATAGCAGCACAGTTATTCTTCTAAACAGAATTTCCTACCTGATTATATAATCCCACTGGAAGAGAAGAGGCAAGTGTGAGTTGAGAACATGTGGTATTAGCCAAAAGCTGTGAGGTCATCACTAATCATTTGGTCAACTTTCTTACTGCTCTTGCTAGTAAGGAAATGAAGACTAAAAAGTGACATTTCTCATGAGTATGGAACAGAAAATAACACTTAGCACATCTCCCATTTCTGCTTTCTTTCACAAGTTAAAATACTAGTGCCATGCTGATTTTTCAGAATCTGATGGTACGCTACTTTACCTAACTAATTTTACTCTTCTTAGGAAAGAAGTGTACCTATGGACACAAGTGCAAATATTACCATCCCGAAAGGGGCAGTCAGCCTCAGCGGTCAGTGGCTGATGAACTTCGTGCCATGTCTAGAAATACAGCAGCCAAAACTGCAAATGAAGGAGGACTGGTGAAAAGCAACAGTGTTCCTTGTAGCACAAAGGCTGATAGCACTTCTGATGTCAAACGAGGTGCTCCAAAGAGGCAATCAGATCCAAGCATAAGGACTCAAGTCTACCAAGACCTAGAAGAAAAGCTTCCCACCAAAAACAAATTGGAAACCAGGTCTGTACCTTCCTTAGTTAGTATACCGGCTACTTCTACTGCAAAACCCCAAAGCACTACATCTTTAAGCAATGGCCTTCCATCTGGAGTTCATTTCCCACCTCAGGATCAAAGACCACAGGGACAATATCCTCCAATGATGATGGCAACCAAAAATCATGGAACGCCAATGCCTTATGAACAGTATCCAAAATGTGACTCACCTGTTGACATTGGATATTATTCCATGTTAAATGCATATTCAAATCTGAGTATCTCAGGCCCAAGAAGTCCTGAAAGGCGTTTCTCATTAGACACAGACTATAGAATAAGTTCTGTAGCTTCTGACTGCAGCAGTGAAGGGAGCATGAGCTGCGGGAGTAGTGACTCCTATGTGGGGTACAATGACCGATCCTATGTCAGTTCTCCTGACCCCCAGCTGGAAGAGAATTTGAAGTGTCAACACATGCACCCTCACAGCCGCATTAATTCCCAGCCTTTCCTGCAGAATTTCCACGACCCCTTAACCAGAGTGCAAAGTTACAGTCATGAAGAACCAAAGTTCCATCACAAGCCTCCTCTTCCACACTTGGCTATGCATCTGCAGCACCCTGCTGTGGGTGCCCGGTCTAGCTGTCCTGGTGATTACCCCTCTCCTCCAAGTTCAGCACACTCGAAGGCACCACACCTAGGAAGGTCCCTAGTGGCTACCAGAATAGACAGCATTTCTGATTCCAGACTCTATGACAGTTCTCCTTCAAGACAAAGAAAGCCTTACTCCCGTCAGGAAGGGTTGGGAAGCTGGGATAGGCCGAGTTTCGGAATGGATGCCTATGGGTATCGGCAGACTTATTCCTTGCCTGATAACTCAACACCACCGTGTTACGAGCAGTTCACCTTCCAGAGCCTACCTGAACAGCAGGAGCCCACCTGGAGAATACCATACTGTGGAATACCACAAGATCCTCCAAGGTACCAAGACAACCGGGAAAAGATTTATATCAACTTGTGCAACATCTTCCCACCTGACCTTGTGAGAATTGTCATGAAAAGAAATCCTCACATGACAGATGCCCAGCAGCTTGCTGCAGCCATTTTAGTGGAGAAATCACAGCTGGGTTATTGAAAGATGATGCATCATTGTGGTGTTTAGTAGTTTTTTGTTCAGCTCAAATGCTGAGGGAGGTTTGCTACAATAGCACATGTGATCTCCTTCTCAGCAAGGAGGTTATATAGTATCCATTTATGTGAAATACTGTATCATGGAATCTGTATGTATAGCCCCACTTGGTGGAAGTATCACGGGATTGCTTTACATTCAAACTTTTTTTTAAACATTTCCTTTTTAAAGCTATATCCTTGGCTGGAAAATTTTCCAGTTTGATTTAATAGATGTATCTGTGATCTTTGATATTAATCTTTGGTGCATCAGGGGTTTATATGCAGCACTTTTTATCTTTGTTTCATGTTTTATTAACTTGGTGTTTATCTATCAATCGCAAGCAATTATAATACCTTCAGAATGTGGAAACTTTGACTAGACCTAGCAAACTATTTTTTCAAGCGAAGCTTAATTAGAATCTTTTACAGCTTTTTAAGTTATTTTTATTTGGGGAAAGTGGGCTTCTTTGTGCTATAATCATTATTTATAGAAACAAAGATATACTACAGCACTGACTTTATATTTTAGACAAAATGTAAGTTACCGGTTTATGTTGAAAAGGGTAACAGTATATATTAGAATGATTTACAATATGGCACTTTTCACTGTTGTATTTTTGTTTGGATTTTTTCTGTTAAGAATTAGTTAACTTAATATGGTCAGTTTAAAAGAAAGCAGATGCAATCAATGGAAAAATCATTTCCATTTTTTTATTTTTATTTTTTTATGAATAAGGCAAAAGCCGTAACTGTTACAGGTTAGAGCTTTGTTATCCAGCTATGATGTGCTTCTAGACAGTAGGAATGGAATTGAATTCCTCGATTTCCATTAACCCGTATTTTTAATGTCTGTCTATTTGTTTGGGGGGCACAACAATACTGGATAAATAACCCTTTCACAGTACTTGCCTGTTTTTAATGAATCTAATTATTCTCAGTGCAACTTTTATATTTAATATACTCTAGCTTTCCTGCTATTTATCAAGGCTGGCCTGAGGTGGTTTTATGTGTTGAGGATATGCAACATTTACTGATACTGCACTATAGAAGTGGTGATGGAGGAGTGTAAATGGTAACTTAAAATTTTTGTAAGATACTGTATATTTTCCATTTCCTGAAGGTAGTTTTTTTGGGGGGCCTGTTATATTATTAAGGCCAGACTCTTGCCACAAATAGTGTAGTTTTAGATACAGACTAAAGTCTGTTCTAGTATTAGTAAGGGATATTTCTGGTTTCAAAGTCATGGGTTTTGCTTGTTGCAGTTACATTTCTATGGACTAGAAGATAGATTTTGCAGTCAGCGGCAGTCAGTCATGTGATTGACATAACTTGACTGTTCCCTCCAGATTCTGGATTTTACTTAGTGTAGCAGACACATTCAGATCTATTACTACAGTCTGCCTGGATGCTCTGGTCATTGGGATTATTCTACATGCCATAGTTTGAAGTAAAGCCCTGAAAAACCAGAAAGTACCTTTTACTGTTGATACAAATTGTATCTTTTTAACTATAAGAACTATTTTGATTTGTAGATCTAGTAAAAAACACAAATGTGTAACTATGATTAGACTTTTGGGCAACATTTTATCCCTTATTTAAATACAAATTTTTAAAGTAAAATTGAGGTCTAGAATAGGGTAGAAAATAAAAGTAACAATTTAGGTAAATAAAAGTGTCTGTCTTAGTTTTATATTATATATTAAAATATATTAAATAAATTTATTGGCATTTTCTTTCTCCTAAAACTTATATAGTCTGAACTTAAAATAAAGGTAAAATGCTGCCTGAAAATAATGTCCAAGCATCTTTGACTAGGATAACATTTTCACTACTTGTGTGACACTGTGTGTTGCATGAAGTAGGATTTGGGTATACAGTAAATGCTTCTAAAAGGCATTGTGCATTATTGACATATCCAATAATCTGAACCATGTTCAGCAAACTTAATTCAGGAAAGTGATGTTCTACACAATTATTGCTGTTGTGTTTGAAGTGAGTGTGGCATGCATCTGTACCCAAAAGTAATGCAGGTGACGCCACACAGACCATTTTGAGTGGTGTCTGAGCAACCCGTACTCACTTGTGAAGTTGTTTTCCTTGATTTTGTCAGTCATTATCTACAGAACAAGTTTAAATACAGAGGCTAAATGCGTGCCAAAAGTAGGGTTACAGATGTGTAGTATGTTTTATGTTAGTCATAATCTAAGATTATATAGTATAAAAATCACTTTTAAATTATTCTTATAGGTTTTGCTTCCATTTTCTTTGTAGCATTTTAATTATTTGAAGATAGCCAAATATTACTAAATTGTTTTAAATGAGATTTTAGGTGAAATGGATATAACTTTTTAAATTTGACCTTTTAATATTTTTAGCTGGCTATTTGTCATGATTGTTTTGGGAAAATAATGTACCCTGCCATCACTTGTACTGAAGTGAGTAGCCCTGAACTACCCACAAATCTTCCAGTATAATTACTTGTAAAAAATAGCCATTTTCTCGGGGCTGGAGTTGTGGCTCAGCAGCGGAGCACTTGCCTAGCATGTGTGAGGCCCTGGGTTCAATTCTCAGCACCGCATATAAATAATAAAAATGAATAATGATAAAAAGGTCCATCAACATCTAAAAAAATATTTTAAAAAAAGAAATAGCCATTTTATTATATCAAAAGGACAGTTTGTTCCTATTTTTTTTTAAACACCAGTGTTGCTTTCAGAGTTTCAAAATGAGATAATTGGCAGACTTTGGGTATAGCAAACTCTTATTTATCTTAAGTAATACCTAAAAGCAGTCCATTGTCAAATTAAATCTACAGCTGATCGCAAACCTTCATTTAAGCAAAAACTTTCTCCCTAATTTATAATCCCTATTTATCAGACTTGCTAATAAATAACTAGAAAGAGGTGTGTGAATAAGTAGTGAAATTGCCAATAATGGTCAGCTGAATAGGAAAAAAAAAAGAATTCAGACTGGAATATTCTGCCCCTGAATAATTGTCAGTTGACTGTACTTTATACAGTAATTAGCCAGTCTGTTGTCTCTGTGTCTTAGTCCAGAGGGAATAGTATCCAACTGGCCATATACTGGCCCTTAGTATTTCCTCCTTTCTTGCATGTGATGCAGACATTTTTGGTCTCATTTTTATGATCTCTGTATCCTGATAGAGTTTGTCATTAACTTAAACATTGAAAGAAATGCTCACCAGTATAAAATATTTGATACTGGTGGGAACTTGAATTTTGTGTTTTTATGAAAATGCATTTACGAGAATATGTAATATAACTAAAGAAGAGTGTCTTATATATATACATATACACATACATACATATTTGTTATGAAGTATTAAAAATGGGAGGGGGGGTTCCTTTGATGGCTAACATTTCTGTAATTGAACTGTTTCACTGAGTTGTAGATGACCAAGTCTAGGGTCTGGATGACCAATGATAGGATTTAGAACCACTTAAAAGGAAAGCAACTCTTCACTGGTTTTATTCCTGATATTTTTAAAGAATTATTTTGATAATTTTAATAGATGTGTAATTTTAAAATACACAAAAAACTTAAAGTAGTATTGATTATACACATGATTATTTAACATGTTTTGTGGATGTAACTATATGTATATAGACAGTAATATATTTATAAAACAAATCTACTTTATGTTGTAGTTCTTTATGGTAAGTGGGAAGATGCTTCTGTGTGTGTGTGCATATGTGTGTGTTTTGAAAAGTCTAAGCCTTTTCATGCCTGATTTAATGGCTCTTATATATTTGGTCTTATTATTCTTTCTATCCAGCTTCCTTATTCAAGATAAACAAGATGTACAGTTTCTGGCCATTCTGTTGGCACGTGGCCCATCCATTTTTTTATTAATCTGTAATAATTCATAAAGAGTGCCTGAGTGACCTGAAATAAAACAATTTTTTTGCTAGAGATAATGCTTATGTTCCAAAAGACAAAAATTCATCTGTGATGTTGAGCTTCCAGTCCACCAACAAATATGATGAAGTATAAAAACAAGCTAAAATATACATATATATTAGAATTAGAGAAAGCTGAGTGTTAATAAAGGCAAAGTAGCATGCATTATTTTGTTTGGTTTAGGAAAATGTCCTGGAGCAAGTGTTGACAAACTTTTTCTATAAAAAGAATCAATTAGTAAATAATTCAGGTTTTGAGAATTAAATGCTCTCTCTCTCTCTCTCTCTCTCTCTCTCTCTCTCTCTCTCTCTCTCTCTCGCGCGCGCGCGCACGCGCGCGCACAGTGGGTGGGGAGAGAAAGAGATAGACATGCTAGGCAAGTGCTCTACCACTGAGCTACATCCCCAGCTTTCAAATGGTCTCTTAAAAAAAAAAAAAAATGCTCACCTTCATCTTAATAGCAAAAACACAACCAGGGACAATATGGAAATAAAAGAGTTGGCTGTGTTCCAATAAAACTTTATTTACAGAAATAGGCAGCAGGCCAGATTTGCCCTGTGGGCCATTCCTGGTTCCTGCCTTTGAGGGAGAAAAACAGACGCTGTGAGTAGTAAATCCTGATATATGTTAATATTAGAAATAATAATTTATTTCATCTGACATTCAGAGAAAAATCAGATAGTTATTGATGTTCTTCAAAGGATGATTGTGATACAGTCATATTAAAGCACCTTAATGCATTTATGTTTTTAAGATGTTCACACCATTATTTATTAGATATTTCTTGTGTTTAAACACACATACACACAAACTATAAAAAAGATAATAAGTCTTGAAATTTTTTTCATGAGCTTTGTATTTCTGTTGGTAAGTGTAAGTTCTTTACGTTATCTTTTGTTTTTTAATGGCCTCTTGGACCAAAAAAAAAAAAAAACTATTGTATTTTGAAAATTAGCTTATAATTAGCTACAAAATTTTTAAAGACTGCATTTATCAGTTTTTTCTGTTAGTTTTGGCCTCTAATAATTGACAGATCTGTGCTTTAAAAATGATTTTAAAGAAGATAAACAGGCTGCAATTTCACATTTTAGTTTTTCTCTGTAAAATTAAAAATTGTGACTATATAATGATCTATAATGTGAATGTTACAAGTGACTATAAGAAACAGTGTATCTCTGCTTTCTCTGTCCAAATGTTTAGATTTTTAGACACCATAGGGCTATCCATGATGAATGATATTCTTAATGTGATAATGTGTAGTTCTGAATTCCTTGGAAGTACACACTTTTGGGCATCCTCATTCACAGTGTTCACATTCATGGTGTTTCAGCAAAAGCATCATAAGAACATTAAATTGATGTGAAAGTTACTATTCACTTAAATAGTTATGCTTTATTTTAAAATTGGAATACAATTCTACCTTTTAACAGTGTTTATTGTTTTGTCTATTTTTGTTTCTTTAATGCTTTCTCTGAACTTACTTATTGTTCCTGTTATAATAGTACTGTTATATTAGAAGTGGCTTTTTTCTCTAATAATCTTTAGATTTAAAAACAATTTAAGGCTCTCTATTGACCATTTGGCAGAGAAAATATCTGCATGTTTTAATTTAGTTAAAACTTGTAAAGTTTTACTTTTTAAATCATGTAATAAATTTTCTGCTTGGGTATTTCAGGAAAAAAATGTTGACCATTAAAGCCTTGGCCATCTGTTTTTCTAAAGCAGCTTATGTCTCAAAGGAAAAAGATATCGAAGAGTAATGTTTTGGTTTTATAAAGAATATGTTTTCGATTTCCTTTGGTTTTTTAAATCATAAAATTATAAATTTTCTATCTTATGTAAAATAGTAACAAACATGCAAACTTCTGCAGACTTAGTATTTTGTTGTAGTATACCAGGTTACTGATCTTATCTTTTCCTTTTAGTTTTGGTTTTCTAACCCATAGTAGTATGCTGATAGTGGAATTCCCTATTTGATTCTGCAAACTTTTCTTACAGGAAAAGTAAGTTAAAGAATATGTTTAAAGCAACCATTTGATAAGCCAGTATGATTCTATTTATCTCTGTCCTCTGTGTTTCTGTAATGGAATTTTTACAATTCCAAAAGCAATTTATTAGAACTACTGGAAATCCTTGATAAACAGATATATGATTCTGCCACTGAGGGAGAGAAATTAAAATATTCGTTTTTCTTATGGTGGTTTGTTTTTGTTTCATGAAGAGAAATTGGTCTCATATGGCAGCATAGATGCTAATAAATAAAAGCATTATCCTTCTGTAGTCCATAGCTTACCTGCATTCAGTGGTTAATAACATTATGAGCATTCTGTAAAGTAAGCTCATGTTCAGTGTCAATGTAAATGTTAGCACCAAAATTAATTCCTCTGAAAACTGAAATTAAATGTCAAAGACAACTAGTCATAACTTAAGATGGTGAGAGTGTTTTCTTTCTAGTTAGTCACGAAGGTGTGTGTATGTGGTGATTTTGAAGTGTCATCAGGTATCTGGCCAAGACAGAGTGATTGTTAATAGTGACCTTGTCCATAGAGTTTTTAAGAAATGTTGGGTGACATTGGTGTCCTTTTTCTCATTATGAGGGCTGGCAAGTGATTAAAAAATATTGCTAAGGCCCCTTTTGTGGGATAATAGGTACTGGAATTCTGCATCAGGTTTGAGCACTAATGTATGTGAAGCCTCAATACATGCTTGGGGCTCAAGAGAACCAGGGTCAGTACATCTGCCTTTAAGTTCACCTTGCAGTAGGGCTGGAATTTGCATAATCAAAAGTTGACTATTTTAAAAAAATAGTCTGAATAGATCTCAAGGAAGAGAAATGGAAAGTTTTAGTTCTCTGATATTTGAAACTGAAAAACCTAAATCACTGTAGGAAACTGTACTGCTTCTGAGAAATACCTCCACAGGTTAAAAAAGATTTCAGACAGTTGCTGGGATTGTGTTCCAATTCCAGTCCTGCACCCGTTGCTATGGTAATGTCTATATCACACACAATAGGTAGAATCAGGGCAAATCATCTTTCATAGTCTTTTTGAAACTCAATTGTAAAATGATGTTCATGCCTGTCTGACAGGCTTATTGTCACCAATGGGATGATGGTGATGGCAGTAGGCATGAGGATAATTGAAGAACAGATGCAAATGTATACAATGCTGCATCTATCCCATTCTTGCTGAAGTGAAACTGGGATTTTCACTTTCTCCCAGCTATTTCAGAAACTGTATGTTCCTTACCCAACTGTTCTAATAATTTTCTGTCAGTGAAAAGACACTCTATTTCAGTTACAGTCAAAGTAAGTAATGAGATGTTCCAAGGATCTCCATGATTTAATATACTTGTTCTATCAATGCATAAGATATTATTTCAGATAGCAGATTTTTTCCTCCTATATTGCTTTTTAGACCTTTGCTTTTCTTATTTCAGATAGCAGATTTTTTCCTCCTATATTGCTTTTTAGACCTTTGCTTTTCTTGTTGTCTTTTCCCTGAAATTGCTATTTTCCGTTATCAGATACTCTTTTCTTCCTTCTTCATTGTCTTAGCTTAACCTGTTTAACTGGGTTCTTATGGATTTATACAGTGTATTTTGACTTTGTCAGAAGACTTGATTATTGATGTTGACTTGTCAGAGAACTCAACGTATCCAAAATAAGTGTTAGGTAGGGAGGCTCTCCAAGTACTTGGGAGGCTGAGCTGAGAATCCAAGATAACATTAGATTGGGTTGCAGTGTTAACTAGAGCTAGTACTTTATTCTTCCCCATCTAGTACTGTTGTCCGAAGAGAAAAGGTTACTACATATTGACGAGTTAAGTAATATTTGAGGAGTATTGTAAAACACAACTATAATGATGAATTTATTCAAAGCAAAACACCTGTACCTGAACCTTTCTTGAGTTAAGTACTTACTAGCATTTGTACTACAACCTCAGGTACCCTTATAGAGTTCATGTTTTCACTTTAGTGTTTGAAAAGACGTAAAGAATTTTCTTAATCTTTTAACATTTTAAAGGTTTCCCTTAAAATTTTTAAAGTAACCTTTTAAAAATGTATTCCTGGGCTGGGGATATGACTCAAGCGGTAGCGCGCTCGCCTGGCATGCGTGCGGCCTGGGTTCGATCCTCAGCACCACATACAAAGATGTTGTGTCCACTGAAAAACCGAAAAATAAATATTGAAATTCTCTCTCTCTCCTCCCTCCCTCCCCCCCCCTCTCTCTTTAAAAAAAAATGTATTCCTTTCTAGATACAATCATCAGCCTAAGAGTTCAGAGTAGGAACCCCACTTCCATTGATGTCAGCAAGTTGGCAAATCACTCAACAGGGTAATGAAACCCTCACCACCTCTCCTAGGGTTGTTAAGACTAAATGAGTTGCAACTACCAAAATCCTTTTACATGCAAATCCATAGTGTGTGTTCCATAAGTAATGGGATATTTTTTACATGATAGCCATTGTCATGTAAATGAAAGGATGTCTAAATGCATAACAATTTTCATAAGTTCATATTACTGGTAAAATATGAATTCTGACAATCAGTGTAATTTGATATATTTAATAATGAAGTGATTTTAGGATTTCAAAGAGTAACATTTTAACCTTCAAGGAATTTCTTTCTTTTATTTTTATTTGTTTGAGAACTGGTCTCACAAAGTTGCTCAGGGCTTTGCTGAGTTGCTGAGGCTGGCTTTGAACTTGGAATCCTCCTTCCTCAGCCTCCCAAGCCACTAGGATTACAGGCTTGTGCTACCACACCCAGCTCAAGGAATTCTTGGAATCTATTTCCCTGCTACCCTGTCACCAGGGTCTTCTTGGTTTAAGAGTTTTTCTATGTATCATAATAGGAGAAAATGGAATAACAATAATGATTTCAGAAAAGAAGTCTTGCAACTAAGTAATTCCTAGACTTCATTACTGACATCCTTCTGAATTCTACTTTTATTCCAGCAAACCTGTCTGCACTCCTACATCACACAAACTCTAGAAAAGCATGTCAGTCCCTTAGCCTAAGAACCCACAGAGCCAAGGAGCAGGGGGACAGTGCACATTTCTGGGAAGATAGCAGCTTACATAGGGTAGCTGTTTTTGTCTTTAACCACTTCCTCCTATTTTATAACTTCCACTCTCCAAGTTGGAGACATTAAGCTGTCAGGTAAGCCACTCATATCCGGAGGTCCAGTATTATATTGTTACATAATTTAAATCAAAGCCTGTGCAACAAACATTATCCCTAGTTTACAAATGAGAAAATTGTGACTCAAAGGGTAAAGCACTTGCTCAAGGATGACCCATGGTTGATTCTCTCTCCATAACCTTCCAAAGCTGGAGTACTGAGAACTGATCCCTGACTCTCCTCAGTATGAGTTCTACAAAAATGTAGTTATATCATAGTTGCACGTACTTAAAAATGCTATAATTTTACATGGGAGCAGAGGAAGACTGAATAAAATGTAAAATTAGAAGTATTATTTCTCTTCTTTAGTAATCCATACTTTTAACACTCTGCTTTCATGTGTGGACAGTCATGACACAGATGTCACTTGTATTAGAGGAAAGGTTACCCAGAGATCTACCTGACCCAAGCCTTTGATGATGGCCCGCTGACTAGGCACAGTGTTCAGGATCCAAGGAAAAGCTAAGCCCCACTTAGTGCTTCCAGTAAGCAAGATGGATTGGCTCTCTGCTGTGATAGAGGGTTGTTTTAGAGTCTGGGACCTTGTCTGAGAATTCTTTGTAGTTCCAGAGAGTAAAAGGCAGAACATTTATTTCTAATGTTTCCAATCATACATAGAGCCCTTCCAGCGGGTCTTTTGAGAAGGCCCATTTAGCTTTCAATCTCCTGACAATACCCACTGCAAACAGCACCTTTTATGTTGAAGCAGCTGCCATTTGCATTTCCCCATGCTTTCTCTTTGCACAAATTCAGCATGAGATTAGAAATAGGAATATTTAATTAGGTGACCAAATAGATTCCCTTCCCAGTTCCCCAGGAGAGCTCAATGAGGGACAGAACATTGAAAGAATAGGAAAAGGCTTAAATGCATTTCCCTCTCTTGTCCAGAGGCTTAAATGAGCCAGTCTCAGTGCACAGAGGGCTCCCCTTCCTCCTTTCAGGGATTGGGGGCCCACCAGGGCTCAGGCTTTCTCACTGTCTCAGCCTTCAAAGCTCTCTTGCTCTGTACTTTTCAAGGATGTAATTATCATTCATTTGAATAATTATTGCAAATATGCATGTGAAAAGATTAAGGGAGATGGCAAATATAATTTGGTAACTACGTGAAAAGCTATTCAATAAAGTCCAGAGGAGATTTATGGGTTTGCTATGTATGTTACCAAATTAACAAGATAAGAACAAAGCACATTGTGTCATATTAGACATGTTAAAGACTGCCAAGAGAGGAGCAGAGCGAAATGCATGCTCTAGTTCAAGTTCAACTTTATTGCCTGTGTCGAGAGCAGTGGGAGATGTGAGTGGGGACTGGAGGACTCTTGGCCCCTGGGGCAGGGATGCATGTGAGGGACAGGTTCTTAAAAACCCCAGAGCCCCCCTCCAAGCAGTTGTCCTCCCTGTGGCCCATTCCTTCCCTCACCCTACCCTCTCTTCCTGGTTGGGAGTTACCTGGAAAAGTAAGCATTCTCAATTCTGTCTCATTCTTCCCAGGCAGCAGTTTTCAGAGACACTGAAATCATCCAGTTGGCAGTGGCTCTGGGCAGATAGGGAAAGAGGTTGATTACTTTTGAGGGTCAGAAAAACATGCAAGTCAGAAGAAATCAGGCCCAGAAGCTAGGAGGCATTGATAGAGCATCTTCTGAGTACAGAGAGGTTCAGAGTGACCTTATTATGATGTTCACAAAGCAGAGGCTGTGGGTACATTGAGGCCAGGCAACCCCTACATGTAAAGCTTAGATTTGGGATCTGTAACTAAGATTTTACAAAGGTCTCACATGAGCCTGATCTGGGGCCAGATGCATCTACTGTGGCCAGCACAATTGTTTCATTTTCCATTGGATGGCTCTGACCACATGTGTACCCTCTAATTTGGCCTCTAGCATCAGCCTCACTAATTTCATCAGGCCAGGAAAACAAGTAATATTGGGGCCAGCAAAATATATGAAAGATGTTAAATAGGAAGCAAATGGTGGGTCACAATTTTAAGGAAGATGGTCAAACTAGGGGAGGGTCAGCAGTAGGGAGGTTGCTGCAATGACCCACCCACAGCAGGACCCACTGGGGCAAGAAATCAGAGACAGTTCAGAAGTAGAATCAAACTAGGTTTTTGTCTTGGGCGATGCAATGCAAGGATCTTACCACATGGCCATCCACCACATGCCACCCTGCCAGGTGGCAGAGTGACAACTAATACCCCACTAAGAAGTACCACACCTGGTCCAGAGCTGCTGCCCAGCAAGTAT